TTGTGTGATGCTCTCGGTAATTGGTTTCAACGACGCCATTCAAAGCACACAGAGACGTCGAAGAAACAGAGGCTATCTTTGCAATTTGGAAATTAAGTCAAGCAAGAATCGGCAACAACAAAAAATCGACAAAAAGAAAACCGTATCAATGAATTTGTTTATTTTGAATGCGTTCGAGTTTCACATAATTTGCTGTGATTTCCAATTTTCGCTTCGAGCTGCGACCGGCGACGCGTACAAATGTTCCATTTGACGATAAATTATAATTTGCTGTCTTTTTATTTTCTCACCCCAAACAGGAAAACGACACGATACAATACAATACAATCCGAAAAATTTACTTTCGAATAAACGAGAGCGATTGGGTGAGGGGTGAACAAAGTTTGACATGTGTGTATGTATGTATGTGTGCGCACGCGATACATACGTATCTAATGTGATCTTGGTACGATGATGGCAAATTTGTTATCGTTAATAATTTTCATTACACGCATATTGTGTGTAGCTGATAGAATTATTGCGATCAAATATCGATAAAATCCGACAAAGTTTCCGAGAATTTCACATCTGTGCATGGCGGAAGAAATGTGGCAATTGACTGCCTTATTCATTGCACGCTCTAATTGAATTATAATGATTTTTATGTGGCCAACTGTTTGGACTTCTATTTAGTTTCTTCTATTCACGAGGTGAATGTTTGATCGATCGATTGCTGGTTTAATGTTAACGATGCTGCACACAGACTGTTTTTTCCTCAGTGCCATGTGATAACAATGTGAAATATTCTCGGCTTTCTATTCAGTTCAGATTACAATTGATTGTGTGTTTGTATTTTTTTGCTTTGAATTGACTAATTAAATCGCTCTCTTATTGTTCTTATGCAGCGTATACACGATTCATTCATTATACAGCTCCGTGCCATGTGACAATTTTCATGCAAACTGTTTTGCCCGGTTTAATCACTTAAAAAGAAAAAGAAACCTGAACGATCACCGGCCATAAAAAAAGCATACATTCCAATAAATTAATGATGGTCTAATCTATTATGGCTATTAGCCATGTAATAATGCCAAAACGTCACTCGATTGCACCCTTCGTCGCACTAAACAAAATCATCATAATGAGAGACATTGTCAAACTCATATTACCGAGCTCTCGGTTGGTCTAGTTGTCATTGTCACGGTTGCGGTTTCGAAACTGCAACAATCATGTGTTATACATCGTTGCGTTGTGTTGGGTGGATAAATGGCTGGTTGGTTGGTTGGTCAAGTTGTTTTAGTGACGGGGTTTTCGTCTATCATTTCGAGTTTTTATCAAATAATTTTTGTGATATTTTTCATTCTCATTGGGCGCAATGTCCTAAATGGCTTTTTATATTTTCCTATGCGACGAAAGCGAAACCCAAATAATTTGCCTGCTTTTGCTGTTGTTGTTGATGGTGGTGGTGGTGTTCTTGTTGGTGTCGTTGCGTTTCTGCTGTTATTTGTTTTCAGGGAGTGTCAACTCCTGCGAATCGCACATTTATCCATAATAACTTCTAGTTAATAAAATGGAAGAAAACAAATGAAACGGACATTGTAAGCGAATAGAGAGAAAAAAACATATCAAGATCGGCTATCATTTTATCTGTATGGTATTTTCTCAATGGTTGGTTGGTTGGTTCGTTGATTCTTTTTTGGCGCGTAATTTAACTGTCGAATACTGTGGTTGTGGCCGTTGTCATTCTATTACCCAACTACTTTTTCTATCTGGCAATACGGCACAAAACCGAAGACACTCCGAATTCAAACCGCTATCATTCTACGTTCAAACAATCGCACGCATTTTACATTTGTGTCACATAAATCCAATTTTACGAACTTTCGCTTCGGTTCAGTGGCATATTTAACTAGAATAGCCATAGAGATAGTGGTGGATAAAAAAGTAGCAGAATGAAAAATTTGAATAAAATGCTTAATGATAAACATAAATAATCGCAGAGCAATGAAACGGTTGCCGAATGGCTGGACGGTTGTCCATGTGACAGGATACAAAGTGCGGACCAGAGAACGAACTAAAATAAAATGAAATTATTGTATTTTGCACGATTACCAAAATATGTGTTTTACGATTTGGGTGCCAATGCTGTACACTGTACAGTGTACACTATCTGGTGGCCGTTTGTTTTGATGTTTTTCGAACAAACGCGACAAACATAGATGGCAACAAATCTATTATGATAATGCTGGATACCAATATAAATTTATAGACAGATACACGCCACACAATGAAGCGAACGCGGTTGCTTTCCAAATGTGGAACAAGAGAGAGAGAGAGAGAGAGAGAGAGAGAAATAGAATGGAAGAGAGGTAGTAACTATGCCTGAAACAATTTTGTACACCACAGTAGATTTCCATTTTTGTGTGCATTAAATTCAGTGTTCAGTGGATTTAACACGCATGTTGCCTGTCATTTATACACAATCTGTGTTTCACATCCGTTCGATCCAGAGTGATTTTGTGATTTGGATGAAATGGTTTCGAATTGGCATAGCCAACGAAATCGGCCTTGCAATGAATGTGATGGCAATAATGGGCTGCCATGAACATTGCATACAGTCCAATTGACAGTATCCACTTGTTTTTGCCCAAATAAGAAGCCATCGATAAAAGTAGTAACACTAAATTCTAAGCAACAGCAACCATATCACACACAAATAAATAAATACAGAGAGACAGAGAGATGGGCAACAAATATGCGATTTATCACACGAAATCAACAATCATTCGTTTTTATTATCATGATTCCCTCTTCACTCATTGGTTTCTTGTCGCTTCTTTATTGTGATGTCGCACTTTATTACTGAATGGATATTCAAATGCATTTTATTCGAGGCCATCGATTTTTTGCGAATTCACATTTTCTCGATATTTTCTTTCTGTCACAATCCTAGTCGGCTCATGGTTGAGCTAACCAAGCCAGTACTATAACTGTGTGTTATGCTTTATATTTTTTCAAATTCACCGATTCAATCGTCTTTCTTATTCCGAGTCAAGCAAATTTTTATAAATTTCTAAATGTCATTGTTGCTGTAGAAATTCTCGGTTTTCTATTTCGCAGTACGTATTTGCGTGCATTTTCCTTTATGAAAATGCTTGATGTCAAATACTGTCGAAAGGAAAACGAAATGGTGCGAATACCTTGAAGACATGTATATTCTATGTGCGAAGGGCGAGTTTCGTTTTATTTTCCAATTTTTGTTGTTGGTATTTTTGCTATTTGTATCCGTGCATTCCTATGTCGAATCTATTTTGCTTTGTGATTCATTTTAATGAATTTTAACGCACAGAAAATTTCCACGGCTTTGAATCACTGTGAGTATAATAATAAAGGTTTTGTTGGTTTCTTTATCGATTTGAGTGTGTTAACATAGTCGAATACAATGAGCCACAAGTCGTGGCCAAAAATATTTCTTTGCCTGCTTCCCTCTCCTTCTTACTTTGCCACCTTAAGAATCTGAATAGAAGAATGATGAAACGCGCTCGGGCAAAAATGTCGTCAATGGTGCGACCATCAAGCAAATTCACTGATAAAACTTCCAAACGAAAACATAATTTATCGCGCAACAAACAGACATCCATCCATTTATATAAGAATATAATTAATATGATAACTATCTTGATGAATTGATTAAAATTATATGGGCACATCGGAACCGAAAAAGGAATGGCAAAACGAATGGACGGCCGAATGTTGGTTGGTTACATATAAACAGAGTCAAAGTACGACACTGGTATTTCATAGGCAATGGCCAAATTTATGGCTTTTATCGAAGATTGTTCGTTCTCCTTTCACATTTTATTCCCATTTTGTTCGTTGAATTCCAACATTTTTCGTCAGAATTTGCTACACTCTTTTTTTGGGAGGCGAGGTGGGGTGGGGTGGGGTGGGGTGACTCTGGCAAAATCCTCTTTTGCCATTACAGTCTACGTGAGTTTTACATATGGCTCGCATGGCGTTATCGCCATCGTGGTTGATTTGCAGTTCACTCATCGGTCAATTGTATTGAATTTGGTGATTTGTATGCTTTTTGCATCGAAAAATGAAACAGGCAGTAATTAATATCATTGCGACTTTGGATTTTTTGTCCCTATTCGTTCGGTTTCATTTTGGGTATTTTGCGCATGAACTTCATGCTGCGATAGAGAAATATACGCTCTACCTAATTGTTTCTGCGTATCTAACGCCACCATTTGTGAGCACATGCGAACAGAAACGAGAAGTGAATATGGTTGGTTGCCTATGAACGAAACAAAAAAAATCTGTCCAGAGACGACAAAAGACGTACGATGAACACATTGATTTATTTGAGATTTAGCGGTCAATTTGATAAATGGTGTCTATTCCATACTTTTGGAACGTGTCTTCTTTCACTGATTCGGCTCGCTCACTTTTTTTCATTGATGAAGCGCACAGTGCATTGCGTGTGCTATGCGCCTTATCTCCCTCTCTCTCTCTCTCTCTCTCTCTCTCTCTCTCTCTCTCTCTCTCTCTCTTTCCCGCCGTCACTATGATGATATGTGATTGTTATATATGTATGCGGTCGATCTCTGTCTCTCTATCTCTATCGGTGTGTATCAGCATATTTATCTCAATATCATGCTTGAAACGTTCCCTGAATAAATCCCTTTATTAGACTAATGGCCACCATTTTCGAATGGAATTTAATCGAAGTTCCACATGATTTATTTATACACGTATTCACATATGGAACACAATGTATCTCACAAATATTGACGCCAAACAATCAAACTAACGCAGACTGTGTATTAAGTCCATGGGAGAGAATCACATTGAAACACATACATACATACACGAAAATCGAACAATGATTTTTCTCAACTCACCAAATTGACATTTGTGCATTTTTACCATTGCCATCAATTTTAATACATTTGCATTGACACTTGTTTTTTGGTTTTGTTTATTTTCAATTTCTCTCTATTCTTGGTTATTTGCAGGTTATTGCCAAAATTTAGATGAATTAATACCAACATCGCATCATGACTCACCGACAGTTGTGCCGAAGTTCGTGTCGAGGGGACATTTGTACAAAGCCATCGTGGGCGACACGATAGAACTACCATGCAAAGTTCAAAATTTAGGTAACGAATACAAATTATCATGAAACTTCCTATCTCTATCTCATCTACGCAGAACAAATAACAGCCATAAAAAAACAAGGAGCTCCTAAATACGGTTCAGTCGTGTCAAAATGTATGTGCCACACAATTGTGCAAATATATTGGCACGACATTGCATCCCCGAATTTGAAAATCTATTGCGAATGATTCTGAATGCATGGCTAACAACGAAACGCAACGAGCACTTTGTTCCGATTCCGATGCCAAACGAATAATAGTTGGAATGTGTTCAAATAATTCAATCTATTATCCAACCTATTGCCATCTATTTTTCATTCAATGGTAACGCTTTTTTTTTCTGAAAAATTGAAAAAACAAGCTTTCTATTCCATCGAAATGGAAACAATTTTCGTTTTGTACATACCAACGTGATGTGATGAATGTCTCGAACGCTTAAGGAGAATCGAATTAATGTTTCAACTGATTTGGAACTATCACTCGATAACTGAATAGGTTGCAAAACAAACATTTGTATCGTTATCGCACAAAATCCATTATGAATTATCTTCACTAATAGCCATAACGTTTCACTTGTTGCTGTATTTTGCATTTATCGTATTTCGTTCATGTTGAACTTTTCGAAAATTTGCATTGCTAATCCGGTTATTTTTTTACATGTTCGGCAATAATTCTCAATTCGATGGATGCTGAAACCAAATTTGTTGAGCAAACGATGGACATTAACCTTATTGATGGTCCATGTCTGGCGCATAATGTCGGACACGTATTTCGTTGTGCTTTTCTGTGAAAATGTGGCAATCGAAGTTCTGATGCTATTATTTTACTTTTTAAACTATATATAGGCACGTTTGTTTTGTTATGGCGCCGAGGATCTAGTGTCATTTCAGCTGGCCATTTGAAAATTACTCGCGACGATAGATTTAAAATAGTCGACGATTATAATTTACAAATATCGAACGTTAAAACACAAGATGCCGGTGATTACATATGCCAAATCGGAGATCAAGAGACACGTGATCAAGTGCATACGGTCGAGATTTTAGGTGAGTTTAAAGAAGGGAAAATGTAATTCAAAATGGCCGTTGTTTGGCCGGAAGAGTGAACAGTATCATACACTTTTGGATGAGCAGCCAAAACCATCGTTGAATATTTTGGTTAGCGTACTTCATTTCATTTCGTTGGTAATTTTTTTCTCGTCTTCGATTGTGTTGCAAATGGGCCATTTTTGGTCAACGAGCCAACAGTTTGCTCGTCCTCAGTTCCAAACAACGATATAAATATATATATTTTTTTTTATTAGATTTTTTATTTGATTTAGGTAAAAAAAACAGTTTTTTTTTATAAAAAAAAAACCCAATGACTTTTTCTACCTATTAAGTTTCGATTTTACATTTTGATTTAAAAAAATAATTCATTTTAAATAGTATTTTCTCTTTTTCTTTTTACATTTGTAATATATGTACATACACCTTAATGCTAACGCTTACTAATTACATCCAATTATTTTTAGTTCCACCGACATTAAGAGCTGTACCGCAAAATGGACAGGTTGCTGCTCGAAAAGGTAGCACCGTTACATTGGAATGTAAAGCATCCGGTAACCCAGTGAGTGTGCTACATCCAGAACATTTCTCTCTCTCTCTCTCTCTTCCATTCAAAATGATTGTGTTTTAATTTGTGTTTCACATTTTCGTAGGTTCCATCAATTTACTGGTTTAAAAAGGTAATATGCGACAAAACATTAAATGACCACTTCAATATGTATAAAAACAGTAGCACACATTCCACCAATCACAACGATGTTTCACAACGATAAGTCGGTCGAAATCGGATATTCGATCCCTTTGGTCGAACGAGAAAATAGTTGTTATCGGTGGTTGTTGTCAGAGCAGTAGTTTGGTTACATCTCGTATGCATTGCACACAGATATCACACACACACACACACACACGTAACCATACTCAATGGACCAAATTAAAACTTAAATGGGCATAATTGAGCTACTTGACGGCATTTATACCTTTTCATAACAGTATAATAACATTATATGTACTCATTAAAACCCTAAAAGAGCACTAACACATACACACATATGCATTGGAATTTTTGTGCGAACCACACGAAAAATCACGTCATCGTGTGATTTCAATTTCGGTAATATTAATGGGAGGTTCAAGATTGTTCGTAGTTATTGGCTCGTAAGCGCTTCTTAGGGAAATCTACCTCCTCCCAACCTGTAATCACCATTAAATTCTCCTTACCTAAGCTTTTTTCTTCTCTCATTCTCTCCGTCTCTCTCGCCCCTTTATTTCCCCCATTCAAAACGACTGCAATTTAATACTGTGTTATTCGCTTTTTCGCAGGATATTTTTTCCGGATCAACTCATTTGTCGGACTCTTCAACTCTCATATTGGAACGAGTAGACCGTCATCATGCCGGCGTGTATCAATGCGCCGCCGATAACGGAGTACGAGAGCCGGTTTCCATGGATATAAATTTGACAATTTTATGTGAGTTTTGCTCAATGACCAATGACAAATTCCTACAGAATTGCAGTATTCCGTTGAATTGTTTTTTTTTCTTTTATTGCTTTTTCTTTTCTCGAGCGATTCTATATATTTTTGCTGCTATTTTTGCAATGTTTTGCTCGTGTCCACTTTATAATTTGTAAATGGAGTGTTTTGTATTTGTTTTATTTTGTTTTGTTTTCTTTTGTCTATTTTTGTTCTGCTGTTTTTGTGGTGCAGCATTCAATTTTGATGATTCTTAACGTTCCGTATTGTTTGCGCTCTTGCTGATAGATTCATGAAAACTAGATCAATTTAAACCAGGAAAAATGAGATGAAACAAACTTTTCAAATTTTTTATTCGATATTTATACATTTGGCTACTTTTCTGTCTTCATTTTATTTCGTGCAGCGCCACCGGAAATTACAGTCGAAAGAAGCTGGGTACACGCGGTATGTATTGTTGTTGTTTTTGTTGTGCAGTTGTTTTTTTTGTTCTTTCTTTTTTCAAATCAATGCGAATTTTCTTTTTTGGTTGCAGAGCGAAGGTTATGACATTGAATTGGCCTGTATAGTACATGGTGATGTTACTTCCGATGTAAGTACAAAAGCTGAATGAATCACATCATCCAACCGAATCCGATTCCATTCAATTCAATTCAATTGAATTTCTGTTATATTCGCACGTTAAAATCGAATTCGAACGCAAGCGAACGGGAGAAACGGCGACGGAAAGAAAACAGTCCCCCGACTCGAATGGCGAACTGTCGAAACAGGGACAGTGAGCAAAAGCAGAAGCAGAAGCAGAAGCAGTTGTGGATATGACACTGCAGATGTAATACTCGTGCTGATATTGCGACAATATTTTTGCTAGCACATTATTCTGCTTTGTTGTCGAAGCCAATCGAGTTTATGTTCTAGTTCGAACATTTATTATTACGCATCAATAGAATAATAAAATCATTCCGTCCGTTATATTCTATTTTTTTCTTCTCTATCTCTTTTTATCTTTCTATATTTGGTTTGCTTCTGTGCCTGATGTTTTGCGGTTTTGTGCTGTGTTGCGCGCACTCCATCATTCAACACATACAGATGATGTGGTATCAGAATTCATTTTTACTAGATCCCACGGACCGTAGATCGATGCAGTCTAAAGGTGATCGCTACACACTCACCATTCGCAATTTTCAACCATCCGATTTCGGAAATTACAGGTAACGTTGTGTGACCCTTAATTGAAAATTTACTATATCGAGAAATGTCAGCATCGTCTGAAGACTCTCTCTCTCTCTGCCATACCATATATTTTACGAACAATCATGTGACTTTCGAAGTTGAATAGTCCGTATAATTGGAATATTTCCGTTCTCGTTTTCTTTTTCTTTTTTTTTTCTTTTTGTGGTTTCTAATCTGCTTTTTCCTCTTCTGGATTTGGGAATCGTGAACCGACACAGCTGTGTGGCTGACAATGCTCTGGGCAGAACGAAAAAATATATTGAAATATCGGGTCGCCCTGGACCAGCCGAATTCATTTCACCGACATTCAGTGGCTCGCTTGAAGTATATAATTTGACATGGAGCGTTGAGTCGATTCCACCGCTGGAGGAAATCCGATTGTTATATCGACGATTAATGGTAAGCCAATTTTTGTTGGTACACAACAAACTATAACCTTCTACATGAAATGTATAGTTCTGTTCTGTTAAAAGGTGATTATAATCAAAGTGTCATTTACATTATCAGTGTATTGTCATTTTCATCAAATAATCCGCACTGAATAAACCACGAGTTCTGTGGAGAAATACAGAAATAGATTGTTTCTCATTTCTCCGCAATAGGAGTTTAAGTATGAATAGCTTTGGTGTTCAAATGAATCTTTGCCCCTTGTTGAATTTCCAACATAACAAAATCAATTCAATTCCAAAAAGAACCGGGTATAATGTTGAGAAAAACAGAACAATAGCTCTAAATTCCATGTAGTGCTAGAGAATAACAGTACACGAGCACGAACTCTGCCACACACACCACAACAACATCGATGATAATAACAACAGCTCTTGATGTTCATTTTGCAACGAATGTAAGCCGTTTCGATTAACCAACTCTAGTTAATTGCTGGTGTTTGTGTTTGCGCGTGCATATGTTACCGATACACAAGTGAAAATATTTGCCCAAAACACCGTGGGAGAGTTATGAAATCGCTGAAAAATCGAAATGCAATTTAGCTGAATTCAAATGATTTATTCCGAAATTGAAATTTTGACCACAATGGCTAAATAAAACAGCCATTTTGCGAATGATCAACATGGATTTCAATAGCAATCGATCGATAATAACAAGTGTATAGTTTCAACTAGAATGTTAATTAGTCTAATTGTAAAAATGATTCCATTGCTCATTGATTGATAGTGAGCATTGTATTAATGATTGAAATTTCTCTTTCATTGTTTGTGTGTTTTTGTTTCGATGTTTCTGCCTGCCCCATTTCATTTCGATTTTTTATATTTTCTCTCACCCTCTCTCTCTCTCTCTCTCTCTCTCTCTCTCTCTTTCTTTCTCTCGCTCTGTATAATCGAATGTATACGATTTGTGCGAACGCCAATGTATTCAATTGAACTGTGGACGATTGTGGACTCAATAGATGAACGAAACATATCAGCATCCGGGAAAATGGCACGATATTTTATTGATACCAACGTTGACTCGGTCCAATGGTAATCATTACGTTATGTCACATGTGATTCGGGGCTTGGAGGGAAATTCCGTATATGAAGCAATAGTTCAAGCGAAAAATCGCTACGGATGGAATGAGGTAAATGATTTCGTTAAAATTGTTAAATTAGGCAACCACAACGCAGCAGTAGCTCGAGCTGATCACCACGGTGTATCACTATGTCTCGCTCACTTTTGGGTTGGCTCGCCTGCTCGTTGCCGGTATGATTATGCGTGTGTTAAGTTGATGTCGAAAAACAAAATCAAATTTACAAATCGAAAGTGGAAGACGCAGCGAGTAAATGGTTTGGTTGTCGCAGTTCACTCAGAGAACTGACAGTGCTTTCAGCAACGGATCATTCGGTATGTGTTTGTTATACATTGAGCTGAGCATTGAACGAAAAAGGGCGCAGAGAGACAAATCAAATATGCGGGTAATTTAGGCATATTGTCGCAGCTAAAGCAAGCCGATCAAACGAAAAACCGGGGAGAAAAGCCTTCAAGTTTTCACATTTCGGAAATTCACCATTGTATTGGCCTGTGTTTACCATTCAGCCTCTATTTACTCAACGTATTACATTTGAATGGTTTGGAGCGAAATGTAATACAGAAAAGTTGAGCGGGAAAATGTCGATGATGAATGAGCGGAAAAGGGATAGCTATATAGTAAACTGTATAGTAAACTATATTGAACTATATAGCTATTCCAATGATAAAATTTGCCTATGTTTTTATATGGAGCACATGTTTATGCTATATTTAAGCGACATCTTGACGGTACACGCTGAATCATGAAACTTCTTTATAAATATACTGCCAACTACAAATGACAGCAACCAATGACAGCAACAATAGAACGTATTTGTATTGCAAAATACTTCCACCTTGCAGATGGCGCCAAACCAAACGTCATTCTAGTCATTTTTCTCATTGGCTATTCCTTTTCATTTGACATTTTTCCGCTCAACTTTTCTGTATTACATTTTCGCTCCAAACCATTCATTCGTTTACATGCTCCTTTTTAAAAGCAATTTTCGAAAGGAAAACAAAATGGGAAAAAGACCGGCCCGACGGAGATAGACACAAAAACCACCTGCTCTAAGAGAAGCCATTAAAATACATAACAGTTCTGCTGAAGGATTTGTTACACTGGCTGGATTGGGAGTGAAAAAAAAAGAATCGGACTTTGATTTTGTTTGTTGAATTACTTAAAAGTAAAAAAGGAATTTCCGTGCGTATTTGTGTCAACTCACAGCATGCATGGAAATGCTGCCTAATACACGCATATCCAATACTATTTGTTCAATGCTTTAATATACATTTGTTCTTTCTCGTTCGACATGTTTGTATCTTTTTCGACTTCGTTGGGACTTTGCGGCGGATTTTCGCTTTATCACTTTTGCTCAACATCAAATTTAGATAAGTGATATTCATCAGTTCTACACGAGAAGCCATGAGCATCCCATTCAAGTCGACGATATGGAATACAAAATGCAGCCATCAACTGCACGTAAATCAATACCAACCATCTCCGGCTTGACGCTGACCATCCTTTGGCTGACCTTTCACCAAATTCAATAATTTCATTCAATGTGATTTTTTCCTATTAATATAATTACCACATCAACAGAACAAATATTTATTGACTTAGATTTAACAGAAGAAAAAAAGAAAAAAAAATGGAAATAGACAGAAAAGAGATAATGTCAAAATGCATGTTGCAATAAAACATTCTCCAACACGGGAAATCGAATAACTGATAGACATTTTAGTAAGATTATTAGAATATAAGTTATTTATTACAGTAAGTGTAAGGATATGAATCCAATTTGATGAGGCCGACTTATGAAAAAGTAGGTTTATGAATCTAGAACATAGAGAAACGAAGAAAAAAACAACGTAGCGAATATTTATCGCTAATGGATGCCGAAATTATTGCAATCAAAGGGAAAATCTATTAAAATCGGTGCAAAAATGAAATAAACAAACGAGCCCAATGTGGCAAAACAAATGAGTACGCGTGTAAAACAAAACCATTTGATCAATTTTATTTTATCAGATCAGCAACTATTTCCATTAATAGATAAACGCTGCATTGCACACAAAAAAACGAATACTCACGACAAGAATATTATGTATAAACGTTTTTTTTTTTCAAATTATTCGTTTATAATTTTAAAGGATGATCAAAATCGATACCTGCAATGAACAAATTCCACCCGTCCTCATTGTCAAGTTGGGTTGGTAACACGATTGATCCGCTTAAATAAAAACGAGCCTAATAGAAAATTTTGAAAATAATCAACCCCATTGTCTAGGACCGAATCAAATTGGCAATTTCAATAGAATCTCACGAATGTTTTTACTTCATTTGGAATTGTTTCTTCTTCGGTGAAGTCGTAAAAAGAAGCATCTCAACTGAAACGAAGCTTTTATATTGGTTTTGGTCATTTCGCACATAAATACAGCTCTAAACACTGTACACTGAATGATTTAGTTTTGGCATGGGATCCAGCTAAAGACCTAACGAATGTAGCTCTACACAATGAAGCAGAATTATCAAAAGCAAAAAATGCATGTTGCGCTGCAGTATTGCGTTCGAACAAACAATGAAACGATGCATTAATTTGTAAGTAAACATAATTTGTAAGAATAAACCATTGGAAATTTGAATTTTAACACGTAAATTTAGAAGAGAGAATTACTCAATATGACAATTGAGAGCAAATGTATTATACATTAAACACCATAGAATAGATAAGATGCGTTGAATGAACATCAAGTTCTACTGTGCGATAAGTACACCACTTTTCAACCGGAAAATTTAAATGGCTTTAGAATATAGATTTGTAACTATGTTTGAAATGATTAACCATAATATGCCCAATAAAATACATGGCATTTATAAATGTTAAAATTCGTCGAAATAGAGCGAATAGCAGAATGTCATCAACACCCCATTTGACATATATGAATAAGCGATGAAAGACAACAGAACCAAATCACAGATCATTCAAAACATTGACATAACTATAGTAAATTTGGAAATGCAGTTGAATTCATATTGACCGAGTATATTGTGTTGTCAGTTCAGTGTCAACTAAACTCAATGCAAAGATAAATGCGTGTTTTTCCAAACGAAATATACTCGTATTTGTTTTGTAAAATCACAAATATACAAATATGCAACCACTGGATCCATAATGTCTTGTTTTGAAAAAAAGGAGTCACAATCCGATATTTTCACGTATGTATACCGATGAGGAAGAAAATCGAAAATATAGAAAAACATTTTTTCCTTCGTAAGAGCACATTTCAACTAAAAAAAAACACCGAAAAACCGCATTTTACTAAAATAAAATAAAATAAAACCAAACATTTCCCGACTACATTACGTTAACTAGAGTATGTTGCATTGAAATCCATTAAGATTCGTACACAAAATACGCACTTTGATCTCCGCAGGAAGTCATCGAAGCCAACAATAGCAAAATGTACGAAAACGAAAAAAAAAATTAGAAGGAAAGAAAAGCAATTTCTCTTTTTTGTTGTTGAATTTGTTTATTTAAATTTTTTATTTAGAATCTTACGTGTAATTATAAATTTAGAAGAAAAAACCCACAAAAATGTGAATTAATTTCTCACAAAAATATTTGGTAACGATAATTTCATATATAAACCAGTACTGACTAGACGTCAAAACCAAAAAAATAAATAAAAAATAAAAAAGATGTTATATGCGCAAGAAATAGAGAATAAATGTATAAAAAAGGCTAATTAACGTACCTACAGATAAAATTTGTATAAGGCGGTATTAAATTCGTATGTATCTGTCGTATTTGGTTCAGTTAATATCAGATTAAATAAAAGAAAGAAAATAAAAACCATTCAGAATAATATTTTTTATTGAAGACAAAATAAAACACATGCAAGACTACATATTAAATTAATGTGAGAGAAAATGAGACACAAATCAGTATTGATGGAATGGAATAATTTTTTTGATGAGGTAAAGATATATGGTGCATGAAACGCAGTAGCAATTCGTAATTTGTTATATAAATTAAAACAGAATTAAGCAAAGAAAAGTAATGAACAACAACAACAAAATGATAATTAAAGCAATGCACGACTTTCAAATGTTGTATTCATCGTCGCGCAACTCTGTCAATTTGTTGGTGACACTCCGCCACGTGCATCAGACGAACGGTTTTTCATACTGCACATGCAAAAAGAATGAATTCAATTCATTCCAACCTCTCTCCACTTGAAGAAAAAAATAAACTGCAGCAACACACACACATTTCCAAACATCATGTGCAGCTGCACGTGTGTCAAAACGACGAAAATGAACAATATACAATAAACATTTTTCAATTCGGAAAATATTTCATAAGCAAAATAAATGCGATTTAACGAGGTTACTGTTGATAGCTTACCAAACAAAATCGAATCATTAGCCAAACCAAATTAAACCAGCAAAAAAAAAACACACACACACACAGAGGAACTAAAAGGCGAATAAAATGATTAAACTTTGAAATGGCCAAAACAAATACAAAACCACAAAATGGAGTTAACGGACCGAATCGAATAATTTGCCATTGAATACAAAAAAAGAGCACGGAGACAGGGAGAGAGAATTTCAAGTGGTGCAATCGATACACGATGAAATTGAAAGCAATTGATAGAAAGAAAGAATAAGTGCGCAAATGAAGTCAATATAATTATTATTCGAATAATAACAATGGATACCAGACTAACACAAAAATATTCAAATAAATACAAAAAAAACTATCTTACCTTCTTTGTTTCTTGTCTGTTTTGGAAGGATTGGTTGCATTCGAAGATACAAATCCATTTGTTTTGCTCAATGACAAACCTCAAAAAGTAAGTATTTGTTTCTTATAATTGGTGTGTGTGTGTGTGAGAGAGTTTTTTTTCGCATGCTTTCGCCGTACCTACCACAAACAAAAACTGATTGCAATCGAATTTCACGCATGGAAAAATGGGTTTATTTTCCATAGGCTTGCTGCCATGTGATAGCCGATAGCCTCTTGTTTTTAATTGAAAAAAATTTATATCAATTGGATACAAATTCAATCCCGTTTTCAACCGAGACACACAAACAAACAAACAAAAAATCTATCGAAAGCAACCCGAAATTTTCCGATTGTTTTTTTCAAATAGCTTTGCTCTGTTGCACCCCATTTTGTTTGGCACCATTGCTTTTTTATATTTAATTAAAAAAAGTGTGATTTCGATTTTTCACCTGTGTTAAATTCGATAATACTAACATTGGCAACGTATCAAATTATTGCTTTTACTATAGTTATACCAAAATGAATTAGTTGGAAATATTTGAAATTTAATTACTTTGTGCTATGGAATCGTTCGCTTTTGTATAGGCCACATTCAATGAATTCCAATTGTATCGGTTGCATAAGCAATACAATCACCACATAATCATATTCATTTGTGTAAAATGCGGGAAAAACGATGTGTCCCTATCTTCATTTAAAATCAATGCAAAGTTTTGATCCTATTTATGAAATCGGTAAACATTTTTTTTTTTCATTTCGCATGGACGCGTTTTTTCCCGGACCGACAGATTGCTTGTTTTTTTGAATAAATATCAAATAGTGATGCGCCACAGCAGCGACACATTTTCACTTAATTTACGTGGATTGTGGTAACAAACTCGATCTAAACCGCTATGAATGACCATTCATAAACAAATGCCGACATTAAATCCGCTCGTAATTGCATTCACACTGTATCAAAATCGTAGTGTCACCTCACCTCACCTCACCTCACCTCACCTCACCTCACCCGCACTTACCTCATTCCCTCTCACTGATATGCATCCATTCACACACTCAGTGAACAACATAAACTCGTTTTTGTCGCATTTTATTTACTTAATATGCTAGTAAAAAAAACATATAAATAAACATGAAAAAAAGAGTTTAAAAAAATGGTTTGATTTCAGGTTCCATTAACAAAAGCGTGATATTCTGAAAGTATTCCCTTTTTCCCTCATCTCGTCAATTTTCCATCACAATGTGATAATTTTGGTGGTGAATTTTCCAGGTTGGTTTTGTTGGCGTTGTTGGTATTGTTGATGATGTGGTTGTTTTTTTTTTCTTCCGGGTTTCCTTTAATCTGATATCTCATTATCAATATCGGCTATAAACTTTTTGAGTGCTTGTGATCGTTTCTCGCGAGCTGCTTGTTTTTCTGATCGTTCAAACATTTCCGATTCCAAATCTTCTAAGCGAGCTTTGCTTGCTTTGGCACGCAAGCTTGCACCTGAGTCATCAGTGGTGGCTGTTAGCGAGCTCCACTTTGTAATGGCAACCGGTTCGGTTTCTTCCTCTCGGCGGCTAGACAACTGAATTGAAAGATAATGTGTCAGGATGCAACGCATTGGAAATTCAAATCAAATCAATTTTATTCACCGCCAAACGACTGGCTGTACAGCGTACATTTTAGGTATATACATACAATAGCATTATGGCAAATTATAAATGGAAACATAATGTTTTGCAAAACGGCAATTCAGCTAAATTAGGTGTAATATGCAAGTAAATCATAAAATCAATGTAACAATGTAAGTAAATAGTTAAATGTTTTGAATCCATAAATAAATAAAGAAACAGGTAACTAAACTGAAAGCTAATATAGTAAGCATAAAAAAAGGTAAGCAATGCCAAGTTAACAAAGCAAAAATAGCATAGTCCATTTAAATATTAAAATAACATTTCAAAATTGTAGTCAGTCTAGGTTCAAAAGATTGTCAGCTGGCAGGCCTCAGTCTCTCAAGCGCATCAAAGTAAATCCACAGAACGTAGAGAGCTTACCTTATATGAGCTCTTCTTTATCGAGCTGCCCGATTTGGCGAAGCTGTCATCAACAGCTGAATCAAAATCGGACACGGCAGCACGGCCACGACGCTTGAATGAATCTACGGTATCATCAAAATCGATATCATCGGAGAAATTTGCAACTTTAGTTTTATTGGCGCGAATTTTGCTTAACGTCGATTTAAACTGAAAATTGATAAAATCTTGAGATAGAGCGTTATTTGCAAACATGAAATATTCATTCGGTTAAAATATGGCCATTGAACGCCCGTCCAAAAATGAACCAACGAATACCTCGTCATCGAATTCACGAATAGTTTCGCCAATGGAACTTTTTGGCACACGAGCACCGCGTACATCAAAAAATGAGTCATCGTTCGTAATGACACGTTCGGCACGACGTCTGGCATCGTTTAATGGCGTATCGTCGAATGGTGTTCGGGCCTCGCGGCTTGGGCTAAACAATGATGTTGGTTTCGGTGATTCGAAGCGGTCTGTAGTCAATGGTCTAAAAATGATAATCATCAATCGGGTAAATCTCAGCATTCTTGAATGGTGGCTCAAAGATAAATTAAAACAGGTGTGTCAATTTTTTTTTACCTTCCGTAATATTTACGGTCCAAATTATCCAACGTTGGTTTATAATAATTTTGGCTTGCATTATAGTTTGAGTCATAAATGCGAGTTCTGCGAGCTCCTCTCAATCCAGGCCGTGACATTTTGTTTTATTTCTGTCTAATATAAAATGATTTGAAAATGAGATACGCGTTATAAATAACTTTTGAATGAGGCGAGAGGAGGAGATGAAAGAAAGGGAAAATAAAAGTTATAAATCGCCGCAGCACCCAATTGAAACGCGACATGATGTATGAATCTGGCTGACAACGTTGACTTTCGGAAAAATAAAGTTTAAAAACACACACACACACACTGAATCATTTCAAATAAGATGATGAAATGTAAACATTCGGGGATTACAATCCCATAATAAATGACAGCGCATTACGAAAAGCATATTCATCTTGTTTCAACATTTTCTCGTGAAACAACCAACATTAACCACTGATGAGCTTTCGCAATTCAAAAAAAGCGCTGTCTCTCCGCGGGTGTCGCGTGATTCATTTGATCGATGTTAGTTTCATGTCTCGCATCCTATTCCCAAAAAAATTAATGTTCCTCAATATATTTTACGTTATCAAGTGCAATTTTTAGACGAACAATTGTCTCTCTGTTTCCCCCCTCGCTAGCAATTCTCATCCGCATATTCATTTGTAATGGTATTCAACCGGACTCGCAAACTTACTATTCTCCTCTCGCTCTCTTTCATTCTTACTTTCAATACTTCAATTGGCAAATCGACAGTGCTATTTTTACGAAGAGCCGCGCTCATTCTGATAATAAAGCGGGTGACAAGATAAAACGGACATTTGTACATTTTTCGTTTCGTTCGAATTTCCCCAAACAACCACAGCAAACATTCCACAACAACGCGCAGCTCATTTGCGCGTTCTCACTTCACACATTCGATTCGTTCATAGTGTATTTTCGTTCTCAAAACATACAAACACATACGCATACGCGATAAATGATGTGAAAGGAAGAACGAAACCGACACCAGAAACAACCGTGTGCTATCGAATCAAAGTGTATTGCATAAAAATAGAAACGGCTCGGTGTAAATTCTTTATAAATAAATCCAACGCATCACAACAACATTCTATTTCACTAGCAATTTCACATGCACGGGCCAAACACTCATCGCGAAAAAAAGGCGAACAATAATATAATTGGTGTTTGGTATATGCAAAGAAAACTCATGAGATATCCTAATCAATTGCTTTTTCTCGCATACCGTTGATCCCCTTTCAATGGAATTCAAAGGGTTAATTCATGGTTCGATTTATGGACCGAACAATGGAATAAGCCACTTCTCATTCATGAGTAGTAATGCCTTGACGATAGTAAATACTGGAAGAATCACTTTTCCTGTGTCCAATTCAAACTATAGAATAGATTTTTGGTCAAGCGATTCCAAACACCGGTTGAATGGTAAGATATTTTTGCCGCACTCAATGACATTGAAGGCCTACAAGATCCAGCCAATTCTGTTTTACTGAACCAAACCATAAATTTTCTACGGACGGACACATTCATGTTTAATTTCTTTTCATCGCTTTCCATTAGTAACCCTTTACCACACACAAACACACAAACAATTCATTTATACCAAGAAAATCAACTGAACCCGTTCCTTTTCGGGTGATGCCACCAAATCAATTCGTCAAATATCGTTTTTTGTGCCTCGCTAGCTATTCTTTTTATTGATGACTTTCAATGGTATTGTTCGTCAAAAATTTCAATTCGAAATTTATGGAAAAACGTTTTCTATCTCAATACCAAATGAATTCCAACAAAACACACAATTTTCCAAACTTTTCACTTTATCATTTCAGCACGGTGGTGTGGTTTGTATATGCTTACAATTCTTTGTTGAATTTTTTCGAAATAAGAGGTGGGAAAACATTAAACACACTTTAACGATGAAATAAAAAAAAAAACTGAGAATTATACCTACCGAGTGAAATGAAACAATAAATTGAAAAAAAATTCGCAGGGCAAAATGAACGAATAAGTGAACGTTTGGTACGCTTGGATGTGACAAGGAAGAAATAAAACCAAAAAGAAATTCTTTGAGTATGTCAAAAAAAATTCTATAACTTTATCGTTCGATTAATTTCATATGACTGACTTCCGTCGATGTGAAACAATCGATGCTGAGACTCGAAAAAATGTTGCGTTTAGCCGCAAACACGTTCTTTCAAACTCGCTATTTGTTTTCTCTTTTTTTCTCAGATCATCATGCCGTTCACGCTGTTGCCGCTTGCCGTTTCATTCTTGAATCATCCCGGCGGAATCTTAGTCAGAGATGCGGAGCAGCGTTGGCTCAAATAAGATACCAAAAATAAATAAATAAAAGAAAAATCAGTTGAAATGAATTAACACACAAACACACAGAGGCACACACGCACAACGCTGAGCGGATGGTACCGGGTCAATCGGCACCTTGTTACGTATGACGTCAATACATTCAGGCTGCCGTTTCTGCGTTCAAATTATTCCATCAAACGAATCTCACCGGTTTAACTAATCCGAATGTAATCGAATCAACTGATAATCCAAACTGAATTTTCTACAATCAATTGGTTGATATAACTGCTCATGAAACTGCAAGGTATTTGGCTTTTGGTTCAAGCACCTCGATCGCTTTCGACATAAATTCAATGATTCGACTTTTTGTGTTGAAATCAGGTATTTGGTTAGAAAACAGGGTGTGAAATTATTTGAAGATTCGATTATTTTCAACTAATTATGAACGGATAAAAAAACTACTAGAGAAAATGGCCAATGAAAAGGCGACCACTATTTAATTGTCGTCTTTTGAGCGATTTGCACCGTTTGTGTTGTCAGTTACATTTGCTTTGATGCTTTTTCCTATGAATTTTACCTTTCGTGAAATGAATAATAATAATCGTCATCTCGCCCAAGCGAAATTGTGTGAGTAATCGGGTCGGAGAGCATAAAATCGACCAAGACGTCAGAAATTTTTATAGAATTTTGGCTTCACTTGCAAAATGTTGTGGCGGCAAAAGAGTGTGCAGGTGCACACACATATTCACCCACGCAAACACTACAACGGTCGGTTGTTTGTGAATGTTAACGCAACTCATTTCATTCTATTTTCATCCAAACACACATTCAATTAACTATGAACGAGAGAGAAGAGTTTGTGTGGCTGGTAAACATGTGTATATAATCAAGTGCCTAGACCGTTTATTACCTCAGGTTTCCACCGACGTACGATCTCCGTTGATGTCACACAAAATACGTAGATGGAACCGCATCAATTCATATGTTGGATGTGATGTTATTTTGCGGCGATAACGCAATTTTATCACGAGTGCATTTCACTGAATGATATGATGGATGACACCTCGGATTGCATGGGATGATATATTTATTGACGATTTAATATGCGTCATGACCGAAAATTTATGACAATTTAGCAAACGGAAAGCGAAAAAACAATAGTCACTCCTTCGGGTTTGAAGCACACTGGCCTGTCCTGGCCATTGATTACGTATAAATCTATTTTAAGCACTTTGAATATACGTTCACATACTCACTAATAGCAAAGTGATTTTTTCTAGTTTGCATTTGTATTCATTTGAGCAACCAAAAGCGTTTCCCTTCGATCCAATTAAAAGTGGAGTTCAGCGATTGTGTGTTAAAGTTTTATTGAGCGCAACAAAGAGGATCGCATCCATGTATTTCATAATAATGACTTTATTTATTATAACTCGTTAGCAGCTTGTTGGCAGTATAAGGTTCCCACGAAAAATACTTACACATTTTAGAGGAAAATTTCAAGATTCCCCATTTACATCTGTCATATTTCATTCATATGCTGGAAATGATTGTACGTAAGATTTAACTTTAATCTCGATGCAGCTATTTAAAGAAATCTAAGTTATGTTCGATTCTCATGCAAATGAATACAAGATTCAGAGTTCAAGTCAGAGAAATAACGGTATGAAAAATACCGCCGACTGTTTATTTATTGAGTTTTTATTCGTAAATTAATTTTTACTTTGTTTTATGTGCGAAGTTGAGGAAATTTCTTTGTTAAATAGTTTTAAAGTGTCAGTTTTATTTTCTTGCCTAATAGTTAATGAGGTTAATTTTCACTAAAATCATATTCAAAAATAGAATGAGAACAATGTGACTGTATCCAAATGTTAAATTTCATTATAGTCCCTTCCTTTAGTTTGTTCTATCCGTATTTTTTTCTATCTTGTGAAGAGTTTTGCAAATGCATCTAGTCTATTCGGTTGTTATCGATTTCAATTCATAATGCTTTTGTATGAGTTTTGCCGGTTTTTTTTTCCCACTGCATTTCCAGTTAGATTAATGTCCGTTCCATTTCTAACGTTTCTCTACTCATTAACTGTATGTTGAATTGTTGTTGTTTGTTGGTTGAGTATATAGAGAAGAATAGATAAATAATTCGAACAATAGTAAGAGGTTAGTTGTTTACAATTTTCAATAGTTTGACGATAAATTGGGCTGCTGTTGCATTTGTTTTGTTTTTTTTATACCATCGTGTTTTTTTTCATTTTTGATAACATTATTCATCTTATTTACTACATAATGATTTTATTTTTAATCGTAAAATGCTCTTTTCTTAAATAAAAATTACTTGCACTTGACCATTTGTTTCTCTTTTCTTCAATGTTATTTGTTTCATCTCGGTCTTATTCTTTCGCATTTTTTATTTGAAAATGTCTGTATTTGTTAGTATTTTTTTAAAAATCAATTCACTATATTGCATGTTTTGCCCTTTCCTTTCATCTATTTATTTATCATTATGATTTTTTTATTGCCATTACTCTTCATTGTTTGTATATATATATATATACTTAAAATATGTTTGGAAAATTTCCGAACATGTAAAAACCGGCATGGAGTGAAGCATTAGAATATTTGGTAAAAATTAAAAAAAAAACAATGTTAAGCCTGGCGTTTACGACGCAATTTTTCACAAATCTTTTTGTATCTTGACTAATAAGTGTCCTAAACATTTCGGTTAATCTACACGTGCTATGTTGTTGCTGTCGCTTTTCCCTCAATAAATTTTCATTTATTGTGTTAAAACATACAGGCTTTGACAATGACACCGATTGCCAGTTTACGGTTGTAAAAACCGACAACTCCACTATTTTCGAAAAGAGTGTTATTTTTTTTCTTCGCTACATTATGTGTTGTGCAAAAAAAATCTTATTTCATTAGGAGATTATACAATGTTTTCATTAATTATGCTTGCAAACGAATATATTTTCTTTCCGTTGACGAAGTCGGAATATTTCATAAATATTTCTCATGTTTTTATTTCATTTAGTCATTTGGGGCCATATTCCAAGGCATGTACATAAGGAGCAACTAAGATGACAATGAAAAGATGACGCAAATTTGTGCCAGTTTTAGTTGGTGTGCTCACATATAAGTGACAACCGACATGATATTCGTTGCATTGCCCGCCTTTTACTATGTACGTGCCTTGTTGTAATCTTACAATTTTGCACAATCGTTGATGCTTCTTTGTCAAAGTCATTATGGCCGAAAAATATTACCGCAAAATTACGAACTAAATTCTATAAAAATAGTTATTGTTTCTAAAATAATATCCGGCATTCCATTTCTTCAGGTTCCACAAAATGTCCACAGAAACTTCTTTTGCTGGTGCTGGTGCTGCTGCTGTTGTTGCTTCTGCTGTTATAAATATTGTTCGAAATTGCATACGCCGCGGGGGCATTAAATAATCATTAAAAATAATCAATCCAATTACGGATCGGTGTGTGTTTTTGAATTGTGTGTGAATTTGAGTATGTGTACGGTCATAATTGCTTTGAATCTAAAATTCATTACATTCTCTTTTTTTTAAATTCATTTATCAGCGAGTGGGTACATTGAGTGCAATAAAATATCTATGAAATTGGCTCTTTTTTGATGTTCGGAAAACTGTTTAAAATCGAGGCCAAAAATAACCAAACTATTTTCTCATACAGAAAGACACACAAAGTGTGAGTAGAGAATTTTGGTTACCAAGGCCAGGCACAAGTGCACGCCAGAAAATGAGTCGCATCGTCTGTGGTGTCACACAAATACACAAAAAAAAGAAATAACATCAACATGGACACAATGACTGCAGTTCAGTTAGTTTTTCATGTTTTTTAAGCTTATTTTTCTGGTGAATTGTATGGGTTGTCAAATTATTCATACTCTCACGGTCATAATCATGTTTCATTTGTAAACGCTGACTATAGCGGTGATCTGACAGCCGTGTTTTTCGATTGGCTATTTTTAGCGTGCATGTTTTGGTTGCATTGACTTCAATTTTTAAATATACATCTATTCAACAACTCAATTTTATTGAATGCATTGAAAATGGTGACAAATGTGTGTTACCCACGACGACAACAGCAAGAAAATTAAAAACAGAATCCGAAAGGCAAACGGCATGCGAACGGATTCAATGAAACAATTATAATGGTTGCTGAACTGAGCGGGAACAAGGTAGGTCGTTTTCATTAAAAAATTTGGATTCAGAGAGTTTTCAGGCTGGCACAAAGCAAAAATTAGACGTCACGTTTTTTATTTTATTTTTATATATTCCTTCTACGGGATGTGCAAATAAGACACTGATGCACGTTGGATGATATCAATCCGAACTAACTATCATTACCATCCCGACAAGAAATTTGCGAATAATCGCATTGCGGATAGTTGGCGAGTACCATGCGAATACTCTGAAATGTCATGCGCAGCCAACTTCAGGTTGGAACTGTACTGTTGTTCGCAGCGCGAATAGTCGCAGGGTATTCAGCGATAACATTTTGCGGCAACTTTTATTGTGGATTCCTATTCGCATTGCGAGTATCCGCGGATATGCGACGGAGTGTCGGCGTACACCTACTTTACCGCAAATTTCTCGTCGGGCATAATCCGCTGTTAAATGGCGTTTGATCAAAATTTAAGATCACAAACTCGGACAAACACCGCAAATATCTCAATTTTGGTCATTCGCTCGACCGAGAATTCTATTTCAAGCAAACAGAGGAACGACATATCAAATGAGTACGTTTTGCGATCTTGAGCTTTTTGTATTTACCCTCTTGCAACAAACTTTGCATTTTACACTGAATTATCGTGA